ATTTTCGATGAATTTCAATCGCAAATAACTTTTTTATTTGATTTCGGATTTAAACAAATATTAAAGAATATTGTAGATACATTAATGGAGAATCGCTCACATTTTAAAAATTACTAAAAAATACACGTACGTTTATAATATACAGATTTAAACAAAAAGATGTTTTTTACCATAAGTTTAAGACACTCTGTAGAGTGGCAAAACCGTATATTGTTCTAAATTAAGTTTTAATTATCAAGTAACATCTATTTTTAACAGTTTTGTTTTTGGTTCACCTTGATATATTTATTTTTGTGGAAAATATGGATTTTTAAAAAAAAAACATTGCAATTTCCAATATTTTTCCTGTATGAAGAACTAAGATTGCTATGGTCCATTAAGAATAGATGTGACTTGATAAATAAAACTTAATTTAGAACAATAAACGGTTTTGCCACTCTACAGAGTGTCTTAAACTTATGGTAAAAAACATATTTTTGTTTAAACCTGTATATTATAAACGTACAATTGGCGTCTCCGAAATGTGAACGATTTTTTGTTGTCATGGATTTTTTTCATAAAATTTATTCGTTCATTCCTGGCTTCGGCCAGTGGTGTTACATATAGAAGGGAGAATACTAAGAATAAGAACAATATCCTAAATCGTTCTATTTTTTTAATAATATTTTAACAAACAATAATATAAACAATATAACAAATAAATTAACTTTAATTTGGTTTTATACAACAATATAAATTAACAAGTAGGTAAATACACAATAAAAATAACATAACTAAATTAACATATTGCTCAAGAAAATTGGTTTTTAAGTGAAATAGCGGCAGATTTAAATGTCAGTAAAAGCTGCATATTTTATATCAAAAAACGTTGGCAAAAACAACAAAGATTGAGAAGACCTATCAGGCAAGGTGTAGGTAAAATCTCCAACGAAAATGAAGACAATGCTCTTGTCGCACTTATTAGGCAAAATCCTTTCAATAGCGCATTTAAGGCCCGAGAAGATACACAATTTCCAGGATCTCTTCGAACAGCTCAAAAAAGATTGAAACAAGCTGGCTTAAAAAACTGTGCTGCTAAGCTATTTTAATACTTAATTGCAGAGCCATTAGCTGCCACAACCCTTTGCAACCTTCTTGGCATGGACATTATTAGCTCACGCATGTCGTATGAATCAGCAAGCTCATCCCAAGAATTTTCAACAGCACTCCATAGTTCATCTCGGTTTGCTGGCCTAAAGTCCCGTTGATATATATTTTTAACTATAAAACCCCACACGTTTTCAATGGGGTTTAAGTCAGGGCTTCTAGCTGGCCATGGCAAAACAGTTATGTGGTTGTTGTTTACCCACTCTGTAACCACGCGAGCTGTGTGAACTGGTGCATTGTCCTGTAATATAATATTTATTAGAATCGTTTTTGAATACTATAAAGTTTTCTGGAAACACATGTCTAACTGAAGGTAGCATAACGTTGTCCAAAATCCTGGTATAGTGCTCAGCCGTTAATCTACCATCAATTTTCCAACATACTCCCGGACCATGGATGCTTATCCACGCCCAAACATTTATGGAAAAGCGTCCACTATTTGAGGTTTTTAATGTATAGTTCTCCTCAAATCTTGCGTTTCTTGGACGATATACACGCAGCCTTCCATTATTGCAAGATTGGAACGTTTTTTCATCCGAAAATATAACATTATTCCAAAAATCTTCTCCATAATTTAAATAGTCATTGGCGAACTGGACTCTCCTGCGCTTATTTTCTTCAGTTAAAAAAACCTTATGAGCAGCAGCACAGTTTTTTAAACCAGCTTGTTTCAATCTTTTTTGAGCTGTTCGAAGAGATCCTGGAAATTGTGTATCTTCTCGGGCCTTAACTGCGCTATTGAAAGGATTTTGCCTAATATGTGCGACAAGAGCATTGTCTTCATTTTCGTTGGAGATTTTTCCTACACCTTGCCTGATAGGTCTTCTTAATCTTTGTTGTTCTTGCCAATGTTTTTTGATATAAAATATGCAGCTTTTACTGACATTTAAATCTGCAGCTACTTCACTTAAAGACCAATTTTCTTCTAATTTGGCTATTGCCCTGGACCTCTGAGCCTCGGTTAAGTGGGGTGGCATTTTTAATATTGCAATTGACAACTATTATCAAATTTGACAACTACCGACGACACTGATGCAAAGCCCATATTACACGATTAAATTTTGCCGTTCACATTTCGGGGACGCCAATTGTACGTCTATTTTTTTAGTAATTTTTTAAAATGTGAGCGATTGTCCATTAATTTATCTACAATATTCTTTAATATTCGTTTAAAACCGACATCAAATAAAAAAGTTATTTGCGATTGAAATTCATCGAAAATTTGTGTGGATCCATTATTTTGCCTGTGAGTGTATATAGAGAGACTTAACTTTTTAGCTATAGTTGTAGCTACATATGTTAGTTACCATATTAGACAATGATAAAATTATAAAGTTTACATTACTTTTTATGTATGTTATGATGTTCTTCTCGATGAGAGAGAATTTCTGCTAGGTATGATAGCCAGCACTTGACTAGTAGCCAAATTCCTGCGAAATAAAATTGCAATTTCAAGTTTGAACATAATTGTCATTGCTCTCATACCACTTGTATCTATTTTGGCCTATAATTTAGATTCTAGAAATTATATGTTATTGTTATTATTATTTCTACACTTTAAAGTTTATGTGCAAAGAAATGTTTAAGGTATTACTTCCTAAATAGCTATTGTTTAAAAAAGTAATATGTATAATTTTTATGGTAATTTGGGTCATTGACAAGCCCATTACAGAAACAATTGTTGAAATTTGATGGGTAATCAAATTTTCACTGGATAAAATCTGACACTGAATTTGACAACAAAACCGTTAGAGATGGATAGATACCATTATACCGGCAAAAGTATGGAACAAATTCATTAAAAAATGTGCATTTTTCCCCAAAAAATTTCTCACATTTTGATTTAAAATTTTCATATTTTCAGTTTTGGGTATTGCGTCGTTTTCAAAAAACACCCGCCTTCCGCTGTCCGTAAGTTTGAATTCCAATAACTTTGTTAAAAATTATCGGATCTTATTGATTTAAAAAACAAGTAAAAGCCTAACAAGCCCTTAGTAAACTCTTTCAGAAAATGTTTGTTTAGTTCTTTCAAAATATTTTTTTTTAATTTTGAAACTTGTGAAACACACATTTTCGCATGTCCCATTAGCGTTTTATAAAACTTACATACATGTTTTTTTTAATATTGAATAACCAGAACTTTGTGTTGCTTTATAGCAATCCATAACATCCTTAGTTAATACAGTAAACAATTTATATATAAATTAATTAATTTTAATCTACTTTTTTTAAATTTGACTCATGTCCGTTGCGTTACGTCCGTCGTGTTACCGATAGAATATTATAAAAAACATATATATGGCAACTTTTTTGGCACTCACGTGATCAACAAATGATGTTCGGACGTACACATTACCCAGCTGAATTTATTTATTCAATCAGGAAGAAGATATCGGATGAAACAGGTGCGGGTAACGCGAATGTAATAATTGTTTGTCCGCTAAGTTACTCAAAAAAAAATAATAAAAATAAGGTAAGAAAAAATACTATTTTTGATTTTTATGTTTATTTTAGGGCATTAAAGCTCATCGAGAGTAATTAATGACTGTAATGTCTTATTATTTTTCAAATATGGTTTCACAAAACTTTTTCCACTGCGTTAACGAGTCCATTATGTTACCTTATGGTAACGCAAAGGAATTTAGGGTAACGCAATAAAATTTTTCGACAACAAAGTGGATATTTACCGTCGCTTTTATTAAAAGTAGTTTATGATAAACCAATTTAAAATTATTTGTGATTACAACTCATGATATAGATTACATCCAAGGGAAAATTACACGCAATATACAAGTACTAAAAGGGACCTTCACCAGTCAAAGAAAAAGGGTATCTACAATTTAGAAATCTAAGTTGTTATTCTGCAAGTGAGCACCACTACAACGGATTTTGTTTATGCATTACCTACTCTAAAATCGTACTACCCTATATAGTTTATTTTTTACGTTATCTGATTAAGTCCTTTGTGTACCCCGGTCCGTTGTGATACCAAAGTCTATTTCGTTACTTTTTTTAGTTTTTGTTAAAAAAATACTTAAAATGATTTTTATACACCATCACTTGACAGTGACTAAAAGAAAATATTAATGGTATTGTTTTTTTTTACAGAATCGGAATGATTTCTTTTAAAAAGTAACTTAACGAACATAAATATTTAAAAAAAGCATACAATTTTTAATAAAAAATAAAATAAAAAATTGGAGTCAAAAGTTTGTGAACTAAGTAGGGACCTACATTTTATTTCAACTTTTTTTATGAATTAAATTTTGTATTTCAAATTGGTAACACAGTGGAGGTATATAAAGCTAGCTAAACAAATTTTTCTGAAAAAAAAACCGTAAAAAAATTTTAAAAGTGCACTGCCTGTCTTAAATGTAAGTAAACAAAACTCTAAACATTTATAAAAATCCAACCAAAAGTCAATTTAAGCAAAAAAATTTGATCTTTATTTTCCTGAAAGCGGGGGTTTCTTGAAAATGACCCTATTATTAAATTTTTAGTTTGTGATTTAAGAATTTTTATTTCTAAAAAAATGTTTTCTATTTTCATAAAAATTATTTGGAAAATGCTTTTAATGAATACATTAACCTACCCCGTAAGCTTAAGCAAGCCTATCCGAAAACTCTCTGAGAACGTTTTGAATGACTTCCCCATTAAAAAGGATTAATTGTTTCATACTTTTGCCGGTATAACCAAATGTGATAGCGTAGCAAATTTTAGCAAAATCGCATAAGTTTACAGAAACCTGTAAACTTGGCCAATCAAATCCTAAGAATTGTTTCTAAATACAGTAATGAGGATGTATAAATGTCGTATTAAGTCTAAATTTTAATTAAAATATAAATGTTACTCACCTATCTCTATAATCATTCTTTCCTCCTCCGTAGTTCCAACTGCTGGCATAACCTCCACTACCTCCACTACCTCCATAGCTTGATCCATAATCAGGTCTTGTAGAGGCATAGTAATATCCTCGTCCACTGTTTACATCAAACCCTGAGGTTCCTCGGTAGGTCTCATCATATGGCCTATAATTATCCCCTCTATCATAATCACCCCTCCTGTAGTCATAACCTCTGTTATCATAACCCACACCGCGGTCACTGTATCTATCACGAGGGTCATACCGCGACCTGTCGCGGTCATAACCTCTATCGTAGCGGTCGTAGTCCTCGTATCTACGATCATCGTACCTATCTCTGTCTTGGTAACGATCTTGATAGCGGTCATTGTATCTATCACGGTCGTATCTATCATACGAACCTCTATCCTCGTAGCGGCTGTCGTATCTATCTTGATATCTGTCTTCGTAACCACCTCTACGTCTATCCCGTATATCTCTATCGTCGTATCTGTTTCTATAGTCGTATCTATCTCTATCCCTATCCAGATACCCACTATCACACCTAGCGCACCTTTTTCCGACTGCGGTGTTTTGTAAGCTGTCTTTTTCCGGGGTGTCTTCAGGCTTTAAAGTTAGAGATCGCTCGCTGGGGCTGTCGGTTTTGAGCCCTGAGCCATACCTGCCGAGGTAGTACTTGTTGTCGCGCGGGATTCGAACCAGGGATTCTGTGCTGGTGAACACGTCTTTTATGGTGACGCTGTATATTTCGGGGAGGATTAAGAGAACGATGAGGGTGTTCAGGTGAGTTGTACACTGAAAAAAAAATTCATGTATTAAATAAATTTATTTGATTCAAAACATCTTTGTCTCATATATATCGAAGACTATTTCACTAGACTATTTTTAAGTAATAAAATGTCATAGTAACGGCACGTTTTCTACTAACAAAAATCCTGCCCGTGATTTCTCAGCGACAAAATTATGGTTTGGTACTTCTATTGTTGTCAGTTTGACAAACAATAAAATTAAAGTTGTTTTGATATTATTACAAATCCGTCACCAAGGTGTTTTATACTTCTATTGTTGCCAGTTTGACAAACGTCATTGTGAAATAATGAATCCACGCGCAAATTCACGATTTGGGTGCCATTCAGATGAACAAATAAAAAAATTGGTTTCAGAAAATATCCCATTAAATACTCAGAGGTCCAGAAGCTCTATTTGGACCCAATTCTCAGAATTCCTACGGGTGAGAAATTTTACACTGGAAAAATGTACTACCGCGACGGAACTAGCAAAAATTCTGGAAGATTACGCCTTTAATATGAAAAAATGCAATGGCGAAGACTATAAATGAGCGAACCGACCCTAACCAACCCAAACTCAACAACACAACCCAACCGACCCCGCCCATTGCCCCCCCCATTTGGAGCGAGATTGAGCTAAATGGGGCAACCCCCCTCCTCTTCGACTCGGATTTTTGTTGCCACCAGCATTCATGCTTTTTGTTAAAATATTACTTAGCAACGTGTTTTTTCGATTTTTTTCGGAAAAATTAAATGCCTTTATAATATTACTTACGAATATATTCTTTAAAATAGTAAAGTATTTTTTTAATTCACGTTGATTTACTTCAAGAATCTTTTCTTAATGTAAGAAAATTAAATTTCTTTAATATATAATTTTTAAAATAAGGGAGCAATGTTTACTTAATTCAAGAAAATGAATTTTCTTTAACCAAATAATTGGTTGTTTTAAAGCAAAAATATGTTATTTTAAACATAAATTAGTGGAATTTTTAAATAAAAAAGATATTTACTAAATTCAAGAGTAAATTTTCTTAAAACAAAAACATGTGATATTGAAATAAGGCAATAATTTTCTTAAATCAAGATGTTTTTCATTACCAACTATTTTTTTTAATTAATAGATACAAGATTTAAACTTTTATTTCATTGATTATAAAATAATATTTATTTTAAAATAATGCAAGATGTATCGTTAAAAATAAAATGTATCTATCTTAATTTTAATCTACTTTTAGCAATGTTTCAAAAAATCTCATTTTGTATTTAAAATCAATAAAATTTTAAATAATGATACGTCTATTAACTAAAAATTATTTATTTTAATAATAAAAACATCTTTATATTTAGGAATATTACTGCAAAAGAAAAGACATTTAAAATAAAAATACGTCTAAACTGGGACTGGAGTAATTTTAAATATCCTGTAATTTTTTAAGGATTGTTGTCTAATCTTAAACAAAACTTTATATTTAAATACTTTCGGATTATTCAAAATTGAGCCAAACTTACTGAAGAGCCAAAGCATACGTTGTATCGTTTTTAGGTGCTGCAGTAAGCAAAAAAATTTAGGTTAGAAAATAAAAAAACAAACGTTTAACAAACACATTTATTTTGTTTTTAATACAAGAAAAATCTAAATCTAAAATGTATACATTATTATAAATTAACGTAGGGAACTTAATCAGTATTATCGATATCATTATTAATATTTTTCATTTGAAATAATTTGTAATATTTTAAGCATAGTAGAAAAGCAATTATCAATTTTATAAAAAAAATTTGACCCCCACATAATATGAATCAAAATTAATGTTATACCCCAAAGTGGGTAACAAAATTACTTCTAAAACAAAATCTTTTTAAATGTCATAAAATAAGTTAAGTTTATTAACTTAAAATTATAGAGCCATACAAATCAGAGTGTTAAACACATAAGATATTTTGGTTATCACTGCAAAGCCTATTTATTTATGAATAAAATAATTTTAAGGCATCCTTAATGTATATTAGTAAATATTTAAACAATAAACCTACCTACCTACACGTAAATGCGATGCGATAAATTTAAAAAAGGGTGGTATATCAATAAAAACTTACTTACCTTCAATTTTTTTTATAATTTCCTTCGATGCTGACCACTCTTCTAATAATTTTTTAATGAATTACGCCCTCTCCCTCACAAAGAGAAAGAAACACTGCATGATTAGGCATAAAATTTAAGAGGACGTGTCGGCATCTCCACTCCTACACGATTTCAAAAATATGTATTCTTGGCAAAAGAAAATACTGTTTATTAAAACAAATAAAAAATATTAAGAATATCTAATTCTTAATATAAAAAAATAAAACAAATAAAAAAAATAAGAATATCTCATTCTTGATATAAAAAAATATTAACAATTGTACTAAGAAACTAAGATTGCCTTCAAGAATATTTAATATTTGGATTGAAACATGCAACTTTTTAAAAGAAGAAATGTTAAAAAAATATTTTCAAGATGATAGGTTTTCTAAATATAAGAAATATTTTTTTTTGTGTACTGATGGATTTCTGAAAATGAAATTATGTACTTTATTAGGTAAAGTTTTTTTTACCAATAGAAACTAATCTACTTTTAAATAATGCTAATTCCTCACATGATAATCTTAAAGCCCCTTTACCTATATATACGGAGGTTAAATTAATTCCAGCGAGGACCGAAGATCTAATTATAAATTAAGCTTATCTACAGACGCAAGGTAGCGAAGGAAACTTTAAAAGCTATTAACTTCGTTCCAATTTAAATTGTCGATAAGTGTTTTTGCCTCGTTTCTGCATTTTGTATCGCTTGGCGCGCGCGGCGATATTTGTATCTGTAACTCGAGTCCTTTCTTGCAAAAGGAATAATGGATAATGTCTAGGGTAAAACGAGGTAATATGACGCAGCCAAGGTGACATTTTGTCGGTTATTTTTATTACAAAACGTGGTCTGCAATTGGCAGTTTCAGGGACCAGAACCACCAGAATGCTTTTGCTTGTCATTTTCTCTAATGCAAAGTTTGAACAAGAATAAGGTTGCCGTCGTAAACATTTAAACAAATATTAACCAGATTTTATGATAATCCAGGTCCACATAACTTTATATGTTAAGTTAACAACCAAATGTAATCTGTCAACTAATTGAAGTAGTTTTTAATTATATACAAACATTTTGTATATTTAATAATAATATCCTATATTAATAATTCAACCATACTCTTGTAATTTTCAAAAGGACCTTATTTGTACAAACCTTTTTGTATACCGCTGTGGTTTTCAGGCCTTAAGTTACCATATAGAGTATGCTGTGTTAAAAATAGATAAATTTCGATATTTTGTAACAACATTTTTATTTAAAAACGTATCGATTTGAAAGATAAAATGTAGACCTTATTAGTGGCAATAAATCCACGTAATATTTTTTTTAGATTTTAACATACAGGGGGCTCTGGGACAATTAAATTTAAAATTTTACCATTTTTAAGGGTTATAATTTTGAGTACATCACGTTAAAGTACTGATAATTAACTATTATTTGATATAATATATAAATTATAGATTATATTATAAACTTCTACATGCAAATTATGTTTCTACCAGAGAAATCATTTTTAAGTTAGGCCTTTAAAGGGCATAATACTAACGTGTTTTACAAAGTATATATTCCTTTATATGTAACACCCATGGTAAAAAATAATTTATGGCAGCGGCAAATAATCGCTGACTTAGGCCGGTCCAACTGCGAAAACATCACGTAAGACGGATCGAAGGGAAAAGGCGGCAGTTTAGCAGAATCGCTCGATCTGTGAATGCTAATAATTCTGGCGATATATTTTATAATAATATTCTCTTTGTTTTAATAACTAATAGATACTTTTAATTATGGTTTCAAAAGTTTAATTTGTTACCATTACAGTGCAGCGGCGGGATGAATACGCTCTATCCGAAGTAGTTATTGTGTGTTTGTTTATGTTGCGGGTAAATAAAACTTAAATTGACGATATTTAGTGTACGTGCTTAGTGCGTTGAAAATAAACAAGATACCTAGTGTTTAGTTAATCAGCCAACATCTGTTTTGATTGTTTTTGGAACAAAGCATGGGAAATCGAAAACGAAGGCATAGTTCTAGTAGCTCTACTAGTTCTACGAGTAGTAGCTCTAGTTCTACGTCTAGCAGTGATTATGCTGGGCGTTATAGGAGAAACAAACAAAAATCGAAAAAAACTGTAAGTACCAAGAAAAGTCACGGCAGTAAACGATCTTATACCCCTCAATTAAGTAGTAACTTACGCACAGACGTTGACGTGTCAAATGAACGTGATTCACAGACACGAATTAAACAACTTGAAGATTTAGTTGACCAGTTATTACAAAATAATGATAGACATTCTGTGCGTGTTTCAATTAAACCTGATTGTATCCCAGAATTTTCTCCTGGAAATACTAACGACCGTATAGCAAAATGGTTGGACAAAATTGATCAGCTGTCACAGATAAATAAATGGGACGAAAAAACAACAATATACCATATGCAATCACGATTAACAGGTTTAGCCAAAACATGGTACAATAACCTAGATAATTATAAATATACGTGGAACGAATGGAAGCAGCTACTTATTGAAGCTTTTCCGGATCACCATGATTTTCCTACGGCCATAAGGAAACTTATTCGACGCATTAAACTACCAGACGAGAGCTGGACAGAATACTATTTTGCAAAAATAGAGTTACTTCGCCAATGCGAAATAACAGGGAAGAATGCTGTAGCTATGGTTATCGACGGTATTCAGGACAATGCCATTCAATCGGGCGCAAAAGTTGGCAGATATTCAACACCTGAAGAGTTATATAGAGATTATCTGGCTACTTTACCTGTTATGCGAGAACGGTTTAAGCAGAGTTTCCCTAAAAAGACAGAAAAACGGCAACAGGAAAATCCAGATATATCAGATAAAAAGCTTACTTCAAAAAGAGGCAAGTGT